TTAATATGAAAAGCATCTCATATTTAAAAGGCTTTCTAAAAATGTTCTTAATATTATATTTCATTTCAATGATTCTGAATGTTAGAAATAATCTTAGTGGGTTTGGTTTGAAAGTAAGTGGAAATGTGAATGCTTGTGGTTGAGATAGTCAAACCCAATGGGATACATTTCTACTCGGGATAAAGGATGACAACAAATATGCCTTTTTCTCAAGTGTGCTTTCTTATTTAACCACTTAATGTTGGAACAAAAAAACAATGAATTCTCCACTCAATTTCAATATGATTGTTCTTGATAGGTACATTTTTCCATTTAAATTTTTGTCTTATACTGCATTATTAAGATGTCATCAAATAGTAAAAGTTCAGAGTTCAAAGACTATAATGACGTAATGTTGTGCTTCACTCAATATGATTAATACGTATCGAACAACCAATATGTTATAGTTTCTATTAGAACTAATCGCTATCACGTGCATTGTATGAATTTTACGTTTATCGTATTTTTATTAGTGTATGAATTTTAATTTTTTTGGAAAGTTTTTGAAGCAATATCTAAATATATTTCCATGATAAAAGAAAATAATTGTAAATTATTTTTACAATTGCATGACAGTATGTTATCTAGAAAAAATATGCTTGTATATTTCATGTTTGAATAAGAAATATACAAACTATTTTGCTTGTATTTTTTGATAGTGTTAATATAATTGAATTGAATGTGAAGATTATATTTTTAAATTTTGTGCAATTCAATATTGTAAAATTGAAAAAAAAAACTCTCCGCACAGTGCGGAGAGAGTTGAACCAAATGCGGAGTAAAAATAAAAAATAAAAAAAGGTGTGTAGAGAAAAAAATCTCCGCACAGTGCGGAGAGAGTTAAACCATGTGCGGAGAGTTGGCAAACTCTTCGCATAGCGTGGAGTAAAAAAAATATTTTCACACAGTGCGGAGAAATGACAAACCAACTCTCCGTACAATATGGAAAGAGAAAAAAACTCTCCGCACTGTGCAGAGATAATTAATCTCTTCGCACAGTGCGAAGAGTTGGTTTGCACCATGGCAAAACTCTCCGCACAATGCGGAGAGAAAAATACTCTCCGCACAGTGCGTAGAGAGTTGAATCATGTGCGGAGTAAAAAAAAAGTGAGGAGAGAAAAAAACCTCTCCGCACAGTACGAAGAGAGTTGAACCATGTGTGGAGAGTTGACAAACTCTTTGCACAATGCAGAGTAAAAAAAAAAAACTTTCTGCATAGTGCAGAGAGATAACAAACCAACTCTCCGCACAATACAGAGAGGAAAAAACTCTCCGTACAATGCGGAGAGTTGTTTTCAAATTTCTTAATTACAAGTCAAATTTCAATATTGTAAATTTTTCGTAAATACAACGAAACAGAGTCAAAAAACATGGCTCAAAATCAATTATATCTTCTTTAAATTTCAGTCATAGCTCAATTTCTAAGCATACAAATCATATTTGCGGTATTGGAAATGAACTTTCTCGTGATTCATACAATGAAACAATATGTGAGTTTTGCAAAGAAGGGGATATTGATAAATATCATGACATTGCTTTCACAAATAGAGGCTCTAGAGTACCACCCAAATTCAATATTTTACACTTGCTTGATAACAGCTTTTGGACATTAGAAGGGGATACAATTTTCAATTAAATTATACTTTCGGTTTGTAGGCTAGGAATTAAAGTGTTCAATACATTGCTCAAAAGTTGTTTGACAAAAGGTCTCTTGGAACTTGCAGATAAAGTACTGAGAGTTTTTGTTTTTCTCTTCACATTGTGCAGAGAGATAGTTTGTCATCTCTCCGCATTTTGCAGAGTTTTTTTTTGTTGCTCACGTGTAGATATTTTTTTTGTCTCATGGAGTTTTTATATACTAAAATTATTATTATTTTTATGTTGTTGGCATGATATGTGTGTAAAAGAATATTTGTTAATCATCGTATTTATAAACAACTTGTCGTATTTGCACCTTACGGTATATACTACTTACAGTATTTGCAACTTACCGTATTTGCAGCCTACCATATTTAAAAACAATTTACAGTATTTTCACCTTATTATATTTGGAGCTTACCGTATATGCTGCCTACCGTATTTGCAACTTACAGTATTTTTATATATCGATTTTTGCACTTACAAAATACCGAGAATGCAGAACATTGTACATTCATTTACCAAACCGAATTTCAAAAAAAAATTCAGATTTTTATTTTTTCAACATAAGCATTAAATAAATGTTAAATATATATGAAACACAAAATATAAATGCATATGAATATGGTGCTCAATCTTCAATTTTTTAATATTGAATTACACAAAATTTAGAAATATAATCTTCATATTCAATTCAATCATATCAATACTATCAAATAATACAAGCAAAATAATTTGTATAATCTTGTATATTTCTTATTCAAGTATGAAATAAACAAGTATATTTTTTTAAATGACACAATATTGTTATACAATTGTAAAAATAATTTACAATTATTTTCTTATATCATGAAAATATTTCTAAATATTGCTTCAAAAACTTTCTAAAACATTAAAATTCATACACTAATAGAAATACGATAAATGCAAAATTTGTGCAACGCATGTGATAATTACTATGTGGTGAGTTTTTTTTTTTTTTTTTTTTTTTTATAACTTCGCAATGTACGGAGAGTTTGCCAACTCTTCGCACTATGTGAATTTTTTTTTTTACTCCGCACTATACGGAGAGTTCGCACAGAATGTCGGAGATTTTTTTTTTTACTTTGCACTGTGCGGAGAGTTGGCAAACTCTCCGCACATGATTTGCCATCTCTCCATACTATACGGAGAGTTTTTCTTCCTTTTTTTCTCCGCATTGTGCGGAGAGTTTTTTTTTTTTTTTTTTAAAGCTAATGTGCGAAAAGTTTTTTTTTTTGCTCATGACAGTTTATATTTACTAAAATTATTATTATTATTTTGGCATGCTGTGTGAAAGAACATTTATTTGACATAATCATTTTTTTAATGTTAGTGGGATGATGTGTGGAAGAATATTTATTTGACATAAATAAAATGAAAAATAAAAAATGACATCATGCATAATAAAATTGAATTTATCTACAATTGCATTAATAGTAGACTTCTTTCCCTTTTTTATTAGAAGTTAGATATAGATGGTTTAGGCTACTATTCACCAGCCTTATTTTTAAAATTACATATATTTTTGACTATATAAAAGTTTTAATGAGTACCGTCGATCACTTTTATAGCATTTTCAACCAAAATATTCCGCTTACATCTAAATTGTAATTAATATAATATTTTAGATCATTCTTCACAACTTTTCATATACCATAAATTTTTAATCAGTATTACTAATTGAAGTGACAATTTTCATTCAAAATTTAGAGTTTTATGCAGAAATCAATTAAGGAAGTAAAACACAAAAAAAAATTTGTGTTAAGAACCATGCTAGTCACACAACTTTTGGTCAACCAACAGTTATTTGGATAGAAATCGTTCGGAGTTTCTTTAGGCACATATTTATTGAAAAGTTTGAGACATAAGAGCATCTCTAAAACTCTCTATTTTTAAATAGTATATCATATCACTTGGAGAGCATATATAAAATTATTGAGTTAAAATTTTAAAGTATTACATGAGCTCTTTATATTCAATACTTAAATTTTACTACTCTAAAAAATGTTTATTATTTTTCTCTATCTTTTATTTTAACTATTTTTTTTAAGATTATTTTATTATTTTCCTACATTGAAAATTTAAATACTTTGAATGCATTTAATTGTAAAGAGTGCGTTTGACTCCCCAAATTTGGATAGCCAAACTAACTTTCTAAATTAAAATGTTAATTTAAAGAGTTTCTTGGAGTATGATTTTATTGTTGAATCTTTATAATAGATAGCATGTCATTTTTAAAGAGTCTTTTAGAGACGCTCGTAGGACATTTGAATTTGAGATTGGTATGAAGGCCGTGTAGAAACTGCAGCCCTGAACCATCTACTAAAATAGTCAAAACAGTGGAAAAAAACTTCAGTCCAATATCTTAAATCAAAGCCGATGGCTCCCCCTCCATCTCCATCCACACTATCTCCCTCTCAATTGAAGTTAGACAATGAGCACGAATCAAAGATACATACTAAAGTCAACCAAAAAGACGTGCTGGTGCAAGAAACCATTGAAAAGTTCCCAATTCACTCTCTACGACCCATTGAAAAATTCGATTATCTGATCTCAATTCCATTCCTAGACTAGAAAATACGTTAATCAATTAAGAATCATAGTGACCATATTCTTGTAATTGAGCTTCATTTTGACGAAATTATCGATACCAGCAGTTTAATGTGTCGATTCTTCGATTTGTTCTTGTCGATCAACCAAATTCCCAAGAAGGGTCTTTTTTTTTTAAATCATATATTTCATTGGACTGGAGGTAGTATTAATGGAGATGGAAGGCGACGGATAAAAACACAGGCAAGTAACAGGCGACGAATCTTAGAAGACACGTTGAAAAACTCGTCCGATCTATCACTATTGCAGTGGATGAAGGTGACGGAATCACCATTAAATATGAATGGGGCGTAAATTTACCTTTTTGGCAATGAATGGTGTTTGGTTTTGGTGGAGTGTAGGGCAAATGTAAACATACCATTTTATCCTTTTAATTTAGTCAAAATTAATGAAAGTCCATTTGTTCTGGTCAACTAACAATTAAATGATTGAATCCATTCATTTGTCATTGTTCTACGACAAAATGAAATCAAACGATTGAATCCAATCATTTGTCATTGTTCTGTAACAAAATGAAAGGTTCAGAACTATGAGTAAGTTTTATAATTAAATGACTCGTTCTATTCTCTCTCTCTCGCTGAGCCTATTACTTAGCATCATCTAGACTAGTGCTGTACTATTAGTGACGCTAAATAACATTATTTATTGGACACTATTAATGAGTTCTATCTGTTATCACACGGACACAGCTCTTTTCTTCGTTTCCCGCTCTGCTCTTATATAAGAGAGCTCTGCATTGAGCTGTCTCTTTAACTCACATTGTTTTCATTGTGCTCTTGGCTTGTGATATAGATACATTGTGTATTATATAGAAAGAGAGAAAACAAGAAAAACTTGTGCAACAATGGCGGTTTCTCTCAGAAGTATCATTGTTTCTTCATTGCTGAGTGTTCTGCTCTTTGTCAACGTAATTGCTGGGAGAGAAAGGTATTTAATCGCTTCCTCACATTGTAGAAGCTGAAACTACGATAATCAATTCTCTTAAAAGAGTGATACTATCTCTAGAAACTGAATAAAATTGTTTGATATTACTCATTAATGAATCTCTGTATAAACCAATTGATTGAATTCTCACGAGTTTTTAGTGTTTTAACAGTTCCGAAGAATCTTATCAGTTAAAGAGCTTAAAGAACTCAACAACGGCGGAAAGGTCAGTTACTTTGCATAAATTGTTTCAGTATCTCAGTTTAAATTTTAGATCATCTACTCTGCTTTAGAATTTGAGGACAATCCACTTGCATTTAACACCGTTAATGGAGATGATTAGAACTTGAAGACAATCCGAAACTGCAGAGATCGGATCTGAAAATTTATAGTTCATCACCGCTGGATCACCAGTTTTGATTAAAAAATATCCCAGCACCTAAGGCCACCTCTCACCCAGTCAGCCTACACCAAAATTTGCATCATTTTGTATCAAATTTTGTATCAAACTAAAAATCATCTACAACTCATTAAACCAAATGAACAGTATTTAATCATTAGCTTCATTTTTTTATTCTCGACAATTTATATAGCTAAAAAATTATTCATTTATTTAATTTACTACTAAAGAAATTATAAAATACAATTAATAAAAATACTATAACTAAGAAAATATTAAATCATATTATTAAAAAACAACGTAGTACATTTCCAATTCCGATATTACGATACGCCGACGGCAACAACAACAACAACAACAACAACAATAATAATTATTAAATACCCTTGATATCGTTTGGTGGCAAGTGAAAAAAGGGCAAAAATGACTTTTACCAAATTTGTTGCAATCCAATGCTATTCACTTGAACTATTTTGCAATTGGAGTGACATTGCACCAAAAATTTGAAAATTGGTATTTTGGTATTAGAGTTGGAGTTATCCCTGGATTCTTACACTGTTCACAGTAGAGAAGTATTTCTCCTGCAAGGTCAGAACGGTAATTTCAGTATAGGAACAATAAAGGCGTTCTTCTGTCCGTCTTCTTCCAGTTCCTAGCCAATAGCCATCTCTCACTTGACATTTATAAATCATAAGCTCCTTCAATGGTTCTTTGCCTCGAAAATCAATCAGGTGAAAATAAAAAAGATTAGAAAAATCTAGGAACTCGAAATTAATTATATAAATCTTTTATTGTTTCCTTGTTTAATTCAATGCTAATTATAAAACCGATAATAGCTGTTATATATGTTTCTTGATTTTTTATTTTTATTTTTTTTATAATGATTTTAGGTTGACTAAAGAAGTTGAATTTAAGCATGATCATGCCGTGGATGATCCAGAAGCAGTAGCTTCCATGGTTGATATGTAAGTTCCTCTTTGTTATTAGATTTATAATTTTCTCAATAACGATATTTCATTAATTGATACAAAATTACAGAGGCAACATTTATTCTTCCCATTTAGGGGTACTTAGTGCGTATCCCTTTCTATTATTGAATTTTTTCTTCTTTATTCAACAACTCGTTTCCATTAATGAATAAAAAATGTTTGTTGTATATTATCATTTATTCAATCTTTTACAGATTAATGAGGTATCGAAAAGAAGGTGAGGTAGTTTTTTTCTTTTTATTTGGTTGATAAGATTTTGATCCAAAAAAATCTTGTCACATCATATATTGATAAACAAATCTGTAAATGATAATATATATGTAACATAATCGTAAATGAATTTATTCTTATCTTACCAACAATATTACATTAATTAAATTACAATGGCTTAATCAAAATACATTCCACGACAGAGTGTGGACCCATTAATGATCCTGTTATTAGCTACCTTACATGATCCGTACATCACCTCTCGTATAATTCAACCCCAGTGGCCTTTAATGTGCGGAATTCTTCCACCCAACTAAAATACCCACTTGTACTATCATGTTAGCAATCTTTAGGAATTAAATGTGCCCATGTAAACGTATATTCAAGCACGTCCATATTTCGCTAATTCGTCATTAATCTCTATATTACAATAATATTTTAAGTTTTATTATTTAGAATCAGTTACGTCAATCTTTTTTGTCATTTTATTGGTTTTGTTTTATTTTATTTTATTTTTTCACTTTGAGATGCACGAGTTGCTAGTAAAGGATATTAGATATAACCCTATGTTTGGCCCTTATTTTTTCAAAACTTGTTTTCAACTACACGCTTTCCCTTAAGATAATTTTACACGTAAGTTGAAAAATTTCATTCTTTTTTAACTACATATTCTTCAAAAAATTACTATTTAAAAAAAATTTTTCCCCAAAAATGAGATTAGAATTAAAATGTGTTGTACACTTACAGCCCCCTCACTGTAGAGGGGGCTCACGCCCTTTTTTTAATCGGCAGCCCCCCCGTTGGGGGGGGCGGGGGCTGTACACGGTGCTGTGTGGACAGCACTACTGATGAGGTTAAAATAGGGAATAGATTCTAATACATAAAAGGTGGGGCCCACGATTAAAATAATTGTGGGTCCCAATGCATGGCTGTAATTTTACAGCACTTGGGTGCTTAACAAATATCTTTATTTTTTAAAATTAAGTTTATCATCTGTGAAACCCTGATCTTCATATGGAATGACATTTATCTTTTTTTTATTTTTTGTCCTTGTTTCTGCTCTTTCGATTTTACAGTCAAAATTGGTACTGTAAATGTAACGGAAGACCGCCTTACGGAATATTGCACATGCTATGTGACGGACCCTTTTCCTTCCCATTCCCAGTTTTAAATTGTGGTCTGTCATTAAAAGTTAATTTGTAAAAAAACCTTCTGTTTTATTGGTCAGGTGTCTCCAGTAAAGCTGTTATAAAAATGAAAAACTTATAATAAAAAGATTCATCATCTCCAGCCTCTTAGCGAATCCGCCTAATTTTGGAAGAATAGTAAGTGCCAAAAAAGGCTTATTTGTCGTAAAAATTATCAATAATGTTAGTTAGATCATTGGTATAATTTTTGAGTTGACACATCAAGCAATTCTATAATTTGTATAAAGCTAATGGTACATAATTTAGTGTAATGAAGGGTGTACACCCTCTCACATGAGAGTGTGACCCACGTGAATAAAATATTCTAGTGGACCCCACCACGTGAGAGGGTGCACACCCTTTAGTATATCAAATTATGTACACTTAGCAAAACTCCTATAATTTATCTCTAATTATACGAGCTCTCCTAAGAGGTAGTCCTATTATTATTAGTAAAGAGGTCGACCTATTATAATTATTATGATTATTTTTATTATATCACTGATGCTAGTAATTTCTGTATTTAATTTTGGATCATTTTTTCACCAGCCTAAGCACATGCCCTTGTTGCGAGATCCGCACAGCAAGTATTTAAATTATTTCTGTCTTTTTCCCCTCTTATCCATGTTTCACGTATAGCTACTCTGGCTTTATATGCCCACACACATTCTTTGTTGGATTTTGAGATATATATACTTTATCACGTTGGCCTTTGCCCCTTACTTTAATTTGCATCTGTAAATCCGTAAATATATGTGTTTTGACGTCGCTTATAGTGATGGCAACGGGGCAGGTTCTCGTCCCAACCCCATCCCGTCCCACTATTTTGGGGTAGTTTTTTGTCCCATTTAATTTTTTATTTTTAATTTTATTATTATTATTATTATTATTTACACATTCAAATTCTAGAGTTATACTATTAAATTATAAAATACAAATTCAAAATTTAAAAATTCAAAACAAATAATGCTAAAATTAACATCAATATTCAAAGAAACACTCGAAAAAATAATATCCAAAAAATATTCACGGGGCGGGTCGCCCCGCCCCTGTGACCCGTGACGGGGTGGGGAATTATGCCCCCCCCATCAACCTGTCGGGGCGAGGCCCTGTCGAGGCAAGGTGGGTCGGGGTAAATTGTCATCTCTAGTCGCTTACATGGAAATTACTAACGAGAGCTACTACTCTACTTTTTCTTCACATGAGTAGGTATAATAATCTGACCATTGCCCCCCTTAAAATATTTTATTTGATAGAGGCTATTTAAAAGCTTAAATTATTGGACAAAAATACAGGTACAGTCCCTGCTTCACAGGGTCTGTATAGGACACACACATGGAGGGTGGGTGGAGTAATATTTTTTGCCAATATTTTAATCACATGAGGTGTGAGTGTTCTGTAAAAATTTTGTAAACCATGCCTCTGTATGTATGGCATTTTCCTAAATTGTTTATTGTTAAGATAGGAAAGGTAGATATAACAATGATTCTAATCCCAAACTCCTTGAGCTTTTCACTACCTATGTCAATCCTAAGTTAAAATTAATATGTTTAAAAAGCATATGTTCTAATTTTAACATTTTAAGGATTCTTGCACAACTTTCATTATTGAGATTCACTAGTTCATGCATCTTATATTCTCATTCAGATAAGAAACATTATCTTTTACATCTGAATGGACAGAGGACGAATCACAATTATTTTTTGCATAATTATGTATGTTAGGCCAAGTAAATTTTGTTCTTTCTCCAGCCACCCTGGCAAAAAGGGTATAACCTCTAAAAGAACCAGAATTTGATATTAGATCTAGCAGCTAGCCGAACTGACAGGGCATGACCTTAATAAATGACGCTTGTCTGTAGAATAGTTACATTCACCGACGCCATTGGATTTAATCGACCAACCTCTTGCACTTATTTCCAACAGCAGATTTTACAATAAGATTATAGTTTCCGTATGGACCGTATAAATTGTATCTTTTTCTCTTCTTCACATTAATTAATTTGCCCTTGTAATTCATTGACTCTCAAAGAGTTGGGCCTCCTATTAATAAACTCGACCTTGTTGAATTAGACTATCAACCACACACTCTGTGAAGCAGTGAAGTCTAAAGTGAGTTAGGCTGACTCGAGTCTCAGCGGCTCGTCCAGAGCCCAAATATGGGCAGGGTGGCGGCTGGCCCGTTTCAAAATCTTGAGCTTGTATGCCCATGCAGCCCCATCCACATGGACTCCAAAAATTAAAATTTGAAAGAAGTGAAAATTACATGGTTAAGTGATTTCAAGATTTCAATTCATAATTAAGAGTTAGAAGTTTTTCTTTCAAAAATCAAATATAAACTTAAAATTCTAAATATTAATAATAATATCATAAAAATTATTTTACATATCCACCTACTACCCTCTACCCTCCCAAACCCAAATCATTTTCCAATATCTTCTTCTTCTTCTTTCTCTATACTATATCGATGCCACTACCATTCGTGGTGCCACCATACCACAGCGCCACCAACGTTTGCAAATGCAGAGCATGAAGTTGATGTGACGATTCTTCACTTCGATCTAAAGTATCAAGTTCGCTATTAAGATCCTACGATTTTGTACTTCGGTCTCCCTCTCCATCGCACGTAGCATCACCGTCAATCTCTTGTCTTTCTCTTCGCTGCAATCATTGTGCGTGGCTGCGAGGCGTCGATCACTGTTATAGATCGTGGGAAGCGTTGTAGATTGGAGCATGTGAAGAGAATGGTTGGTTGTGGTTTGAGATGGTTGTGGTGATCTGCTAGAGAAGAGAATGGATGGTTGTGGTTGCAACAAATTGGAATCAGAGAAGAGACGAGATGCCTGTTGGGTGTGGTGACTATGGTGCAAGTGGATCTATGAGATTTTGTCACTTTTTGTTGGATTCAATTGATTGGTTTTTCTAGGTTTTGGGGTGGTTGTTGTTGTTAGTGGCAGATGGATCCGACGATGTTGGTGGTGGCTTTTGGCATTGTTGGGGTGGGGTGGTGTGGTAGTGGATCTAGTGCTATTGGCAGTGGTGAGGTGGTGGTTGCAAACCGTTGGGTGCAAGTGGTGTCGACAACAACGATAGAATGTGACAAAGAGATGGTGATGGTGATCATGGCTGGGGTTGTGATTGTGGACTGGTGGCGATGGCAATAGTGGTCGTGGCGGCGAAGGCGACGTGATGGTAGGTTTTGAGATTTTTTGGTTGGTGGTGGTGGTGTGGTAGAGATGATGGTTTTGATTCTTAGTACATGCAGTAGTGATCCTAGTGGTGGTGGGGCCATGTTGGGTAGGAGTTGTATAAAGAGGGACTGTGACTAATTTTTTAGTTATTGTGACCAATAAATTGGTTAATTTGTTACCAATAAATAATATGTGACCAATAATTTGAGATTGTAACCAATAAATTGGATATTTGTAACCAATAAATAATATGTGATCTAAAAATTAGAGTTGTCATTTATAAAATTTGTGATTTGTGATCTATAAATAAATTTTGATCTATAAATTTTTTGATTTGTGATCGTAAAATAATTTGTAATAGCTAGGATTTTTGATCTATGACCGAGAAATAATTTGTCGTTAGTTAATTGGATAATTTGTGACCAAATAATATAGAATTATGACCTTAATACATTAAATTAATAAAATATATTTTTAATTAATTATTTCATAAATAAAATTTAATTAATATTTGATTTTTGAAATTTGAAAACTTGTTTTTTAGTTTTGAAATGACCATAATTTCTTAGATATGAAATTTTCAAAGTAAAAATTTAAAAGAACATTAAATACAGCTCGTAGACTCGATCTGACCCAGCCCAGACACCCTTGGATGGGCCTATAGCCCAAGACGGGTAGGAATGCCTAGAAAATTTGACGGGCTAGTCTAGGCCCGTAAGAAGAATGTTTGGGTCCCTTTACTTCTGGCCCGGTATGCCTGAGTCACTACCGCGATCAAGTAGTCCATTGTGGAAGTTCTGCATTTCAATTACGTCATTGGAATTTCGTAATATCCCTCAATCCTCCTGGGCAACTACTTCCCGTAGGAAGCTTACCTTGTCTTTCTATATTTACAATTTAGAATATATCCGACCCAGTTAATTTGGTTAAAAACTAAAACTATCTAGCTAATGAATTGTTAAAAATATCCAGGACTATCAAGAACAGCACAGAGAGGAGGAAGTTGGGATTCTTCTCATGTGTAACGGGAAATCCAATTGATGACTGTTGGCGTTGTGACCGCAGTTGGATTCACAATCGGAAGCGCCTTGCCGATTGCTCCATTGGCTTCGGACGCAATGCCATTGGTGGCCGGGATGGCAGATACTACGTTGTCACTGACCCGAATAACGATGATCCTGTTAATCCTCGTCGTGGCACATTACGCCATGCTGTTATTCAAGACAGACCACTATGGATCGTGTTCAAAAGGGATATGGTGATCACCCTAAAACAAGAGCTAATTATGAACAGCTTTAAGACAATTGATGCCCGTGGTGCCAGTGTCCACATTGCAAATGGGGCTTGCATCACAATCCAATTTGTGACTAACATTATTATCCATGGTCTTCATATTCATGACTGCAAACCCACCGGGAATGCAATGGTTCGAAGTTCACCAACTCATTATGGTTGGAGAACAATGGCTGATGGTGATGCTATATCAATTTTTGGTTCAAGCCATATTTGGATTGACCATAATTCTCTGTCCAACTGTGCTGATGGACTCATTGATGCTATTATGGGATCAACTGCAATTACCATCTCAAACAATTACTTTACCCACCATAATGAGGTTGGTTTTTTGAATCCCTTTGCTCAAATTTAATTAGTCTTATCAAATAACAAGTACTGAATGTATAATTACAGGTTATGCTATTGGGTCACAGTGACTCGTATGAAAGAGACAGGGTTATGCAGGTGACCATTGCCTATAACCATTTTGGAGTGGGTCTGATCCAGAGACTTCCAAGGTAAAATATAATTGCCCTTGTTTTTTTTATTTATTATTGTGGTCAAAATCTGGCAACCATCGACGGTCTTGACAAATAACTCGTAAGAGGGTTGAAAGCGTACTTTGCTAAAAGGTAGCGGGGTACTCCTTTTTTGTTAACAAAATAAAATAAATTTCTGTACAGGTGTAGACACGGATACTTCCACATTGTTAACAATGATTATACTCATTGGAATATGTACGCCATTGGTGGAAGTGCAAATCCCACCATTAACAGTCAGGGGAACAGATATCTTGCCCCTGTTAACCCTTTTGCTAAACAGGTTAGTTCTACCCTTTTATTGAGTTGGTGTCTCAATAATGTACAAGTGACCCTATTTTCACATCCCATATTACTTTTGATGATATTGCTTCAAGTAAGTTAATGGACTCTAATGGATTGCACGTGACAGGTAACAAAGAGAATTGTCACTGGTAATATGACTTGGAGACACTGGAATTGGAGATCGGAGGGTGACCTGATGCTAAATGGTGCCTATTTTACTCCATCTGGGCGTGGAGCGGCGGCCAACTATGCCAAAGCATCAAGTTTAGCAGCCAAATCCTCTTCCTTGGTAGGAACCCTCACCGCTGGTGCTGGTGCTCTTAAATGCCGCAGGGGCATGCAGTGTATCTAAAAAATTAAAATCATGATGTTCAAGGAAAAAAAGTAACCAAACTTTTACTTATCCCATGAATTCCCATATTAGTATAGTAAATTCTAGAACTTTTAATTTTATCCATTTTCTTTTTGGTCTTTTTTGATTATCTCTCTCCCTTTGATGATACCTGCCTGACAATCATTTCACTTTTCATGATATGAAACCCAATCACAATCATTAGGTGAGACGTATCTTCTTCGCGTTAGCTGTACCTTGAGTGCTAGGATAGGGTCAGCCTCTGAGTCCCCGTCGATCAACCCCAGCTCCAAATATTTGATATCTCAAGAAATGGTGTTGGGACACACCTCTTTTTTACTTTCAATAAATCCCTTTTCGTCTCAAATCTCTTGGCCTCCATATTTATCTTTGCCACCCTACCTTTCATGGGGACAGAATCTCGCTTTCCCCTTCACTTATTCCCTCCTTTTTCATTTAGTCCAAGTCAAAACATAGCTTGTGCACAACCGAGGAACAAACAAAACTTTCAGCTCCCAAGAGTCCAAGACTCTCTGTAATCAACAGTAGTATTGTGTAATTATGGTTTATGTGATTTTATGATTCCCTACATGTTTTACTTTTTGAATAAATTATTGGATCAATATACTCTAATATTACATAACGCAATGAATTTTTCTTCTTTTTTATTTAATTTTATGCTGAAATTAATATTGAAGTTCCACAGCCAAAAATAAATGCCATCTCATGTGAAATGATGGGTCGACGAATAAAGCCCCCTGTCCCGACTTGGGGACAGGGTTGAGGCCTGGCGCCCCTCCAATAGGGTCCCTGACCCTGTCCTCAAGCCGGACAGGGAGCAGGGTTGTGGGTTGACATGTGATCAGGATTAGGCATTGCCAGACACACCATTTCTTTGCCACTAGATTGTATTGCAAATTTGCAGCCTGCGTGGCATGTTTGGCTAAGCTTATGATAAAAAATTTCCCCCGAATTTTTTTTTTTTTTTTTTTGATCTACAACTCCATCTGTTAGCTTATTCAATTTGAACTCGTCGCTCTTATGAAATGTAATTCTTTTAATCAACCAAGTTCATCGACTCATTCAAATAAAAAAGTTTGCAGCAATGGAAATCTAAATTTTGTGAACGCAAAGCCCAGTTGTAACGAAGGGACCTAAAAGTTGGCAACAGTGAAAAACGCGGATTTTGTGAACCCAATGGAATTACTATTCTTACAACCAATTCGCAAGCAAATTCGATCAAAAACCTTTAAGCATCATTCACCAAAGCTCCATCCAATATGGAATTTTTGCATAACAAAATCAGTACCTAAAATCAAGTTCCTAAAGTAACAGTTGAATCCCAAACAGAATAATGTTCTATGGGGATCATCCCCATGTATGTGACAGTGATGTGGAGTGAAATAATAAAATCAATTAAATGTGTGAATATGAGATTATTTTATTGAACTTATCATTTAGAATGATGTTATCATCTACAATTTGAGGATGATCAAAATGATAGAGTAATTATATGTACAAACTGGAGACGATCCCGTGTGACGAGGCAAGTAATGTGAAATAATGAGGTAAATTAAATGTATGGATATGAAACTTAATTAATCTTAGCCCCTGTTTGGTGAGGATTAAACTTAGATTTTTAATAAATTTTGATAAAAGTTGATAAAATGTGTGAGTGAAAAGTTGTGGATCTCATGAAATATATTGTTAAAATTAATTGTTGACTTCTAATCCCTACGAAACATGGGCTTATGATTTAATGTTACTTTACATGAAGATCATCTATAGGTCGAATATATAAATATATCATTTTGATCATCTCTAGGTTGTAATAGCATTACTTGACCAAAAATGTGTTGGGCTTTTATCTTGGTATCCAGGTTCTAGGCGATTATGCTAGCCCAAGTGGAGCTTATATCCATTTATGGGTGTCTTCAATTAAGATTTTGATGGATTTTAAAAGATTATAAAAAGATGGTGGCTCATATGAGCAGATCAATTTTGAATCCGTATGCTTATTTATTAAGTCTTAATCGGATCGAATCGCTCGTTTGAACTTAACCTGGCTCTGATATCAGATTTGAGGTTCAATCTTAAAAGATCAACTTTTTTAAGCTGAATAGTCCAAAACTTTATAAATTGGTCTATATTTCTATCTTTAATCGATGTGAGATTTTATCTCTAAACATTCATAAGTTGATCAATTTAAAGAAGCGGATTGTGTCAGGTTTAACTCTACATATATGCTACCTCTGTTAGCCGACTTACACGGATTGTTTTTAGGATTATTTTAGTGATATCTAAATGGTTCAGAAGGTTGTCCATAATAAACACCCGATGCCCCCCCACAGGCGCCCTCCAATAGGGTGGCAACTGGTGTCTATAGAGACCCTTCGGTACATAATGATGCACCACGAGAATAATCATTGTTTTTAATCATTCTTGAAAAGTAAGCAAATTATTGGGTTGAGTGGCCTGCCTGACCCAAAAAGGGGACAAGCTAGCGACAAGTGTGGATCTTATTAGATATATAAATGAGTCGTGTCAAGACACGTCAAAGAGGGTCAATCGTTACTTAGACTAGGTGTCTTGCATTATTGCTAATGGTTGGTTTGCTCATTTTTCCGGATTGATTCAATATCATCTTATTTGATTTTGACTTTTTGAGAATCACTTTTTTGAAATTCATATTAAATCACACATTCCTTTAATAAGATAATTTTCAACGTGAATTCATAATTTTTCTTACTTTTTATTCACATGTTCTTCAAAATAATTGCTTTTTACAAAATTACTTTTCAAAAGATCAATTTATTTTACACAGTCGGGGGAGAGGTTAGAAACAGAAGGACGCAGCATCATATGCATATAATTATTGAAGGCCAATCAAGATCATATCATACATATCATTCATCATGTCATTTTTAGCTTTTTCCTTGGCGTTGAGACAACGTACAATTGTTATGACCCACATAACAATAATTTATGTTATATTATTTTATTTTCAATGAATTTAAAGTTGGTTTATTTCAATATGCAACACTTCCAAAGGTAATAACCTTTGAATAGTGGCTTTTCATTTTTTACTCTATTTGTCAAATACTAAAAGTTGCTAAATGGTTATATTTTATATTCAATTAAAATTAAATATTAATTTTAATCACATATTCACAATTACTCTTTTTTATTGATCAGTAATCACACATCTCGTGACTTCTAATATTATTCCTTTTAAGAATTACTAATAATTTTACCCGAATACTGACTTTGAATTAGAAATTCACATAATTCTGAAATAATTATAAAGTTCATGTTTTTACGTACTGAAGGCTTTGTGCAGTCAACACACCATTGGGGCCTATTCAGGCTTTGCTCGAACAAGCATGTCCTCGTTCAAGAGAATGACCGGCAAGAAATATTATCCGACCGGACGCACACCAATTTCGATCGGTTTCTGCACATTCCGTGGTCTAAAGTTGCCTCCATGATATGTATCCTTTCGATCGTTTCAAAATATTTTCTAGAGATAATATGAGGGACTCTTTTTCCATTAATGGACCATATCAAAGACGTCCCTTGTGTTTTCAAACATCACATAAACCTCCCATCTAGGCTGAAATAAATATAATTTCCTTCTTTGTCCTTGACTTTATATTCACTTCCGTCTTATAAAAGTAGACTTGCTTTCGTTTTCAAACATATTAAGAAAGCATAATTGATATAGTTGAAAGGGTAGTTATATTCACATCAAATAATTTTATAAATACACCACATTTTAATAATTTTTTAAATGATATTAACCTTTACTGACTAAAAGAGATCAAATTATGAATATAAAGAGCAATCTAAGTACTAGGAGGTAACATTATTTATGTTCATTATTTCAACGTATCAACTGCTACATACCCCCACCCCTCGTGTATTTCTATAAAATGAGAGATGCAACTTCCATCTAGTCTCAAACTAGGAAGGATAACCCTTAGATTAAGAGAAAAATGGCAAAGTTATGCATAATTTTTCTTCTTGCTCTTGTTGTAGCTCATGCAACAGCAAGAGTTGTGCCTAGCGACAAAGGTCTGAATGAGCAGAAGAACATCCCTACATTCGGTGGCACTGGTGGTGGTTTGGGGGTTGGAGTAGGTGTAGGTGTCGGCATAGGCATTGACGTTGGTGGACTCGGCGGTCTTGGGGGTGTTGTTGGGACAGGTGGACTTGGTGGTGAGGGTGAAAATGGTGGCTTGGGAACTCTAGGCGGCCTTGGCGGTGGTGGTGGCAGCAGCGGCTTAGGTGGAAGTGGAGGTGCAGGCGGTGACGCCGGTGCCCTACCATGCCCTTGAAGTTCAGTAATTACCACAAACGTTGGCCTTTTATGAGTTCAAGGTTGTTGTATTTGTTGTTGCTTTGCTTTACTTTTGTCGCCTGTTAAAACAGTGTCCAGCGTTGCCTTGTTTCATTTGTACGCATGCCAATTGAGGCTACCAAAATAGGTTCGATAATCTTCAAATTGAACTTTATTATGTTTTTGGTATTAAGAACAATTTTTTTTTCTTTATTTTGCGAATGAATCAAT